ATATATTAATGAACTGCAGACAAATTTCTCAAATCAATTTTAACTACTAGTCGTCTACATTACAAGTAATATGGACTAGATATATTATTATTCTTGTAATACAATTCAATATGTGAAAGCTTATTTGTATTTATCAAAATTATTAATTAAAGCAAGTGAGAAATGATWAGAGCTAGAACCCATTTTAGACAATTATCGAGTATCATTTAATAATGCTGCCAAATTGCTGACATGGTAGTTGGTACTAATATAAATTATGAATTTTTGTAAAARCTTATTTGTTTAACAAACATTTAGTCAACCAATTGGAGTAGGGAATTAACGGTAAGATCTTTGTTACCATTGTTRGTTTCAAAAACAGTTTTTACTGTTTCTTTATCCATATTTGGAAACATGTCTTGAATCTATAAAAGAAAATAATGTTTAATATTAAAATTTTTTGAATTGTATARTTAATTTACTTGTTTCAAGTCTTCTGCACTAAGAGTTGGCACTTGTGGGGCTGAAGGTTGAATGTAAATAGGAGTTAAACTGGCACTTGAATTACTGAATTTTGGCATTTGTGGTAGCATCATAACTGAACTTGTCAAGCCCAAACTAGTTGGAGTCTAAAATTCAACAGCAATATATAGTTAATATAATATTAGGTAACTACAAAATTGTAATTTTCATCAAAAAAATTGAATACATACTCCAAAACTTAAAATTATATTTATGGTTCCTTCATTATTTGGTCCTTGTTTACCCGTTAGATCGTACCACTGTTCGATTGTGACCCCTTTATAAATTTGATTAGGAATTGGTATTGTTGTCCAAGCAATAAGTTCATCCATTTTGAAAGAAMATTCATCAAATATTTCTACATGAATTTGATTAACACCCTCTTGTGGAAGTCTAAAAATTTTCAATCTTTATTTATAATATATTCAAAATTTAAGCACTATTTTAAATTACGTTTGAACAATTTTATGCCACTTAGGGGTTTTACCGCCATTAGGATCTGTTTGTGTTTCATATACACAATGTCCAACTCTGAGCCGTACATATGGATCCATTCTAGTTAATCCATAGTTTTTGACTAGCCGTGCTTGTACTATTGTAATATTCAATCTATTTCTATCACGGTCTCCATKGCCACAAGTCAATGCTTGTTGTAGAGCCATAGCAGCTTGCTGGTCTGCAGCTTCTTGTTGCAATCTATTAGTAGAATCATCTGATGAAATGACGTCTAGGCGTAAGAAGTCTTTAGGTAAATCACCAACATACACCTGCAAATGATATTAATGTTTTTAATTTTAATTATTTTGATAAAGATTATAAGTTACTGTTAGTTTTGTTTTTTATGTTAAAACTTATAACATAATTTAAAATAACACTGCATAATATATACACAAAACCGATTTCATTATGTGTCTATATTACCTATCTTCCTAAGCTATTATGTGCTTATGTATAGTAGTGCAGAAACCAATTAAATATATTTTACAGGTATTCTGTAGGTAATTATTATTTTTGATAATTTGTAATAAGTTAAATAGCACATGAATGAACAAGAATGAATATTTTCATCATGTGTACATAGTTTATAAATAATAATAATAAAGATACAAAGATTTTGATGAAAGAGAATAAGTTATTACTTATTATTTATTATTTATCATGTTAGATTATTAGTTATAATTATTTATTATTGAAGAATGAATATAAGTACCATAGATACATTGTTTACTCAAAAAAAAATAGTTTTGTAAATGACACACTCTTGAATAAACCAATTTGAATAGTACATATCTATTATAAAATCAAGTATAACGTATAAAGTTACGTAAGCTGTATTAATATTATACTAAAATTATACATTTAAATCAATACCTAAATAACACCACCCTTGAAATAATCTAATAACTTTAAAACTATAATCTAATTAGGGTTATTGAAAAGAAATAATTATTTCAGAAATTTGCAAGGCTAAATAGGTTTAAAATTATCCTGCATCAGAATAATGGAACATGTAAATGATGTAGTTACAAAATCTCTGTTTTTTCTCACCTTTGTTAATGCCTATCAAATTTCTAAATAATATTAACAAATTTTATACCTAATACCTACATTTAAATATAAYAAATACGGACTTTTATTAGAAATTTGGATAAAGTTAAGTATAGGTACAACAATATTTATTTTTATTTTCATTTTTCTTGTATTCAGAACAGTACAACTGAATGCACAGAATAATATTATTCTTGTATCCGCTATAATTAATATAGGTATGAAGCTA